TGTCAGATATAAAATATGTTAAATAACTTATTAAATTACTTAGTAATTACTGAGTGGTTAAGGTGTTTTTCACTTTAAAATAATGGTCCAGATCACTAGTAGTTCCTACAGGCTGACAAGGTAACGCTTGAGTAATTAGTGAAGAGGTTAATGTATTTTTCACTTTAAAGCTAAAGTGCTACTAAGGAACTACTAGTGATCTGGACCATTATTTTAAAGTGAAAAACACGTTAACTCCTCAGTAATTACTCACAAGTAAATTAATAAGTTATTTAACATATTTTATATTTGACATACTGTACAGTCATACATTTGTGTGAAGCACTAGTGATATTTTACCAGTAGGTCTTTTGGAGTGGGATACATTGATACTGAACTGACACGAAGCAGAGATCATAATTGTGAACTAATTCAATCATGAGCTTGTCAGCATCACTTCTTAATTATTAACATTTTTAAGTGAATTTTCATTTTTATTATTATTCTATGTTTAAGTTTGAACATCCATCCTTTGGTAAGAGTAGTAGTCACAATTTTAAAATGTAGCCGACTTATTTGGGGGATATCAAATTCATAAATTAGTTTCCACAAAGAACCCAATTGTTCACTTTTAAGACGTTACTGTTGTGATTAGTAATTAATTGGTTATTCTTTATTAACTGGTCATAGTTCACAAGTAGTTCTCAATGAGGATATTTTTATTTAATAATTATCAAATATCTAATAAGGAACTACCTTTGTCCTAAATTTGCTACTACTTACTGCTTAGTTAATCTTGCTTCTCTATTAGTTAATAGTATTAAGTTAAGTGTTAATGTAGTACTACCTATTACTTCCTGCATAGTTACTTGTTAACAACGGACCATTATTCTAAAGTGTTACCTTTTAAAGAATACCAAAAACTAACATGCTTTTTTATGGTAATTTTTATGGCAATACCCCATTGATCAACCTTGAGCCAACAACTTATATAAATGTACATCTGAATTTGTGTGTTTTCTGTTTAACTCAAACGCACCTATATCTCCATCTCCATCCTCTGCATCGAGCAGGTCTGTTTTATTCTTCTTGATGGTAGGCCTCCTCCGCGAGCCTGAGTGTAACAGACCATAGTTACTAATTTCTAACATACTCATAGACAGCCTAAAATATTAAAACATAACCGATAAATAGATGAACAGAAAGGAGACTAAATGAGACAACTAGGAAGTGTAGTGTGTCTATCACATGTCTGCTACAGATGGACGGCCCATGGAGACGTGCTCATGAACACTACATTAACTGTGCATATGGACATGAAGTATACAATATCACCCCCTCAGCAAGCCAACACGCTATTGATATCTCTCTTCCTTACAATGGAAAATCAACACCTAGTCCCAGTGAGGGAGCAAAGAGAGGCAGAGAGGGGGATGAAAAGGAAGGAAGGATGGAGGAGGTCACATAAATACCGTCAAAGGGTATCCGGTCATCTGGGTCATTGTCCTCGTCAGCCAAAATCACCTCTTCTGTACACAATCAAAAAAGATTCAAATCAAACCACTGGAAAAGTCAGGAAAATGGGGACAAGTTGTGATGCTTAATGAAACATTTTGTATGTTATCAGCACATTCTAATACTGAGACACACAAGTGTAAAGACATCCATATCAAAAGAGACAAGCTACTATCTGAATTATTGGCTTTAGCTTCTCTCTGGAGTATTTAATGGCTCTTTCTATGGCATTTACCTGCTTTGCAGATCCACTCCAGATATCCGTTCAGCTCTCTCTCTATCTGCTGCTGACGCTTCAGCTTAAGAAACTCACTCCTGTTCTCCACACGCTCCCTTTCTTTGGCAAACTCTCTGTATCACATACACATGCATGCAAACAATTGCTCATCAATGGATGAACACAAAATGCACATACACACTAGTTAAATGCAGATACACTTTACAATCTTTGGCCATTTTGAGATCATCAGAATTACGGGATAGCTGCCTTCTTGATTGATGCTACGGAGGTCCGCATATGACATGGCGAAATTACAAGATATCTTAGCCACAAATTAACAATTCATTCCCACTACTTAATTAATTCCCTTGTTTTAGTTCAACTGTGGCCATGTTGTACTGACTAAATTAAAACAAGGGAACAAAATGAACAGTGGCGGCTCGTCGGGGGAGGCAGGGGAGGCACAGCTTCCCCATAATTTTGAGGTGAAAATGGGAGGAGGACGATTTAATGTTAATAG